ATAATCTTCAAGTCGGTTTTTATTATTTTATAAAAATTAACGTTTTGTTGATTTCGTCTATTTTTGATAAAATTTATATGGGACCACCCCTGAAGTATGACCTACCAAATAAAAAAAGAATCATCAAAATCAATTCATAATTAGCGGAGTAATCGCGTAACAAACAGACAAAAAATATATATAAAACACATTATGGGTCGCTTCAATTTTTATGGGATCCCATCATCAGATCCAGACTTGGTGCCAATGGAACCACCCGGGAAGTGTACCCTTTTAAACAAAAAAAGAATTTCTGGAATCGGCCGAGCGTCTTCGAGTAATCGGGGAACATATATAAAAAGAAAATGTTCTGACGAATTGAGAATCTCCTTTTTCTTTTTTTGAAGTCGGTTAAAATATAGTTTGACAAAAAATATCATTATTTCATTATATTCAGTTAGGTACCTACTTGATTTTTTACTAGGACTATGAGGTTATAGACTTTAGTTTTTAGTACAGCACTTGGTATTAATTTCAATTCTATAAAGAGACAGATGGGCAACAACGTGATAATCTTCGATTAAATGATTTCAAGGATACCTGTTATATTGTTTACTAATACTAGAATTATTTAAGTATACTTCAACTTCTTTGGGTGAAGATTATATACTCTATAGTCTGTATACTTCGCAAACCGCGGGGTCCTGTGAAAATCACTAAAGGGCTTCAGGAAATACGTGCTTTTTTCATAAGATTCAAGACAAAGCATTAATAATTCAAGTTTAATCCATAACGCCTAATACTGTAATAAAACGCAGTATCCCTCATCTTATAAAAGTTTAAAATGTAAATCCCATTTACAATTAGTCTTAAGTTATTTTAAAAACCTTTGAGTTAATTTTAAAATTATTATTTGAAGGAAATTAGTATTATTCGAAATAATTATCATATTTATTACAAATAATCCATTTAAAAGATAGTGCGTAGAAACCATATTTTTAAAGCAAACTATCAGGGGTTCCACGAAAAAGGTAAACATTAAAAAGGGTTCACGTTATCAAAAGCCCAAAAGGAAATTAATATGAAGCACTTGTTTGATCAACAAGGAGTAGGTTATTCATAAAAACGATTATAATTATCGAAGTCATTACTCAATTTAATTAACGTAAGCTATTACTCCTGAACTTTCTGAAAGGAACATCTTCCTCTATAAAATAATTACCTTTTCTATAGGGTAAAACTTGAAATTGCTCAATCTGGCATTTACAGCGGCATAAAAAAGGTCGTTAATTTATAAGACCTTATCCCTCATCTCGGAAAAATCTCGCGACTTTCTACTCTACTGTACGCTGTATAGCACAGTAGCGTACGTTGTATTTCAAGCTAGAGGTTCAGAAAAATGTGTAGTCTTGGGTGGAGAATTAGAACAAGGTCAGCTTCACTTTCAACTGAAAAAGAATACAACAAAAACGAAGTAGCTAAATTATCCACTTATCCTCATTAATAGGGACCTCGTGACAAGAAACCGAAATTACATTACTTATATTGATTAAATTCCAAAAAAAAAATATATATGTAATTGAGCCTTTATTAATTCTGTTGAAAATCAGTTTTGTACTAAATAATTCT